ACCAAATATTAATTAGACAAATCAAATATTATGATTTGAAAAATATTTATCCCTTTTTCGGTGTGGGAAAGAAGGGGTTCGAGGGATATTTTTGTTGCTCAATGTTCTTTTCCTTTTCTTTGCTACCGTTGACATATTCAATTGCGATGAAATCTCACATTAGTTGATAATGGACTAAGTGAAGACCATATAAGTGAGGAGAACCACAAATCTAATGTCTTATAATTGGTTTTTGATATTTTGAACATAGAAAAGAAATTTAAAAAATAAATAAAAATAATTCAAAAATGAAAATATTTACCAAAATAATGCATTTAGACGCAAGTCACGCATGGGGTAGGGTGTGTTTGGGCATATGACAAATTAGCATTTGTCAAGTGGCACAAGCTAAATTAGTCACAGTTATTTTGCCATGGTTTAACCATGACTAATTTTCCAATTCAAAAAGTAAGCTATTGCACATGTTGACTAGTCGTGTACAAGGTGCATGCGCAACTAGCCATGCATGACTCAATAAAAGTTAGTCATGTTTGAACTGTAGTAAAATAATCGTGACTAAATGAACTTGTGCTACTTGGCAAACACTAATTTGTTCAATGCCCAAATGCACCTATATCCCATATGCAACTTAAACACACATCCTTTTAATGTGTGTTTGAACGCATTATTTTGGTAAATCTTTTTGGTTTTGAATTATTTTGGTATTTTTTAAAAGGACTTATTAATCTCATGATGTTGGAGACATCTTGTATCATGTTGAAGAGATAAACATGTGGGACTTTTTTATTAAAGGTGGACCCACATATTTATCTTTATGACATAAAATAAAATATCTCCAATAACATGTGAAAATATTTTCCATTTTTTAAATGGTAAAAAAGTCAATGTTTTGAGTTAAAATATAGTATCAAACTCACTTAACATTGTTGATTTAACTTATAATCCATTAACGATGGCGGTATCAAAATTAGATTCGGCTCGAGTTAATCAGATATTTGACTAAAGGTGGGTTTGGAATAAATCTTAGGTGCATTTGCACGAATAAATCTTTGGCGCTACTGTTATACTAAAGATTCAGTACATTCTACCATAAAAATATTACATGTCAGCTAAAGTTTTCTTTTCTCTGCCAAATTTTTTCTCTCTCTTATGATGTGTAATGCTTCCATTGATGGGATGCATTGAATCTTGGTGCAACAGTAGCATTAAAAATCTATTCCTGTTGTACCTAGATTCAGTGCATCCTACTAATAAAAATATTACACATCAGAAAAAAAAGAAAGAGAATTTGACAGAGGAAAAAAAAATTTGGCTGACATATAATATTTTCATTAATGAAATATACTGAATCTTTGATACAATAATTGGGTTGCGCTTTCGTTGAAGAGACTTTACACAAATTATTGTTGAGATATTAAATGTGATGCAATTTATATTAATTGTTACCATAAATGAGAGGTCAATAAACATTAAACATTTTGCATTGAGACACCCATTTTGGTTGTCTTCAATTCGAACCCAGCCAAATCAAGCATGGAAACAGACTGCAACATTGAAGTGTGTGTGACAGAGAGATAAAAAGTGGCGAGCCCTGCACCATTTCACCCCCTAAAACTGTTGTGTGTTGCGTAGCGGTGAGTGAGAGCTGTAGTGCTGTTGTTCGTAGATACACACATAAGAATGGAACAAAAATTTATAATAAAAATGTCTCGAGATTTTTTTTCTAAATTCTAAATATTTTTGTTTTTTAATTTGAGATAAACAAAAAAGGTAAAGAAAATAGTTTAATGAATGAATTAATTACTATTTAGGCTATAAAATCAAATTAAAGTTCTGTATTTTTTTTAAAATTATTTAAACTTTAAAAAGATTTATTTATTTTTTTAACTATATTAAAATTAGATGCTTAATGCTCTTAATATTTAAATGTTATATTATTAAATAAAAGTAAATATATTCAATATCTTAAAAGCGTAAAAAATAATCAATATTTTTTTATTTTTAAGAAAATAATTAAAATAAGTGATTAAAAAATTAAAATATTAATTTTAAAAATATGAAGCAGCTTAAATATTTAATAGAAAATGAAAGCACTTATTAACCCATTTCATGATTGCATCCTCATATAAAAACTCCCTAAAAAACATAGGGCATTTGCTATGGCCTTACACATAGAAGACCAATATTAGGGTGTGCATGATAACCATTTTGTTTCCTGGCACCGTTACTGAAAAGAAATTTTTTTTTTTTATTTTTGTGCCTTGAAAAAGTTTTTAAGAAAAAAAATGTGTTTGATAACATATTCTATTTTTATTCTGAGAATGAGAATTGCGTTTGATAACACAATAAATAATAAAATAAAAAATCATTTCTATTAAGCATAATTTTTTTTCGGATTATCACTTTCCTTTTCATATGGTGTGGTGGTGGTGATGGCGGCGATGGCGATGGTAATGGTGGCGATGATGGTAGTAGTGACGGTAGTGGCTGCGGAGATGGTGGTGGTAATGGCGACGACATAGTGGTGGTGGTAATGGTGACAGTGGTGGTGGCGATGGTAGTGGCTGCGAAGGTGGTGGTGGTGGTGGTGACGACAGTGGTGGTGGTGGTGATGACAGTGGCTGCGACGACTGCAACAGTAATGGCAGTGGCTGCTGCGATGGTAGTGGTGGTTAGTGACGGTGGTGGAAGTGGTGGTGTCGTGGTAGTGGCAATGGCAATGGCGGTTGTGGTGGTGGTGACAGTGATGGTAGTGGTGGCGTGGTGATGGTACTGGCTGCGGCAATGGTGGTGGTTGTTGGTGATGATGGTGGTGGTGTGGTGGTGATGGTAATGGTAGTGGTTGCGGCGATGACAGTGGTAGTTAGTGAGAGTGGTGGCGTTGTGATGGTGGCAATGGCGTGGTGATAGCGATGGTGGTGGTGACGGTGATGATTGTGGTGATGGCGATGATAGTGATGGGTGGAGGTGGTGGCAACGATATCATGGTGGTGGCGGTTATGATGGTGACAGTGGCATCATCAGCATCGTGGTGGTGGTGGTGACGACGATATTGGTGGTACAACGATGACGATAGATGGTGGTGGTAGTCGTGTCGGGATGATGGTGGTGGTGATGATGATGATGATAGTTGTGGAGAGTAATTGAGAGAAATAAATGTTTTTCATTTTGTGTCTGGGAACAAAAAAAACAGAATTTTTTTATTCTTTTTTCTGTTCCCCAGAAACAAAAATTAAACCGGTTCATCCCGGGAACAAAAAAATAAACCGATTTTCCCAAACGAGTTTTCTATCCATTTCTGCTCCCAGAAACAGAAATTAAAAAAAATTAATTCCAAAAAATTGTCATGCACACCCCTAGCAACCTTAAAAAAACACTGCCAACAGGTGGCTCAACCCAACAAAAACTTGGCGATAGAGGTGGCAATATGGGTTGAGCTCGGCGGGTCAACCCGCCAAAACGGGGCGGGTTGGGTTAAGGTTTTCAACCCACCTCAACTCGCCCCGCCTAGAAGTGGGTCAAAACGGGTTCAACCGGGGCGGGTTAACCCGCCGGGTTATATTTTTATTTTTTTTTACAATTTGGTAGTATTTCATTAGTCCTTAAATTTTTGTGATATCCAAAATTTTTTATCTTTCCTAGAAAAAATAAAGAATAACAATTTTATTTATGACAAATGTTATCTATATATAAATTTCTAAAGAATGTTTGACAAATATTAGTATACATTTAAGATTGAGACTAAAAAAATATAGAGAAGTGTGAAATAAAATTAAATAATATTAGAAAAATTCATAAAATATAATTTATTTTTGAATTTTAATTATTATTATTTTAATTGGCGGGTTGGTGGGTTGACCCGCCAACCCACCATAAAACGGGATGGGTTCATTTTTTCAACCCATATTTTTTGGCAGGTCAACCTGTTTCCTCTCGTTTTTGACGGGTTGGTAGCGAGACGAAGCGGATTAACCCAAATTGCCACCCCTACTTGGCGAGTTATGCGGTGCTGACTTCAGACTCAATATTACTTAACCAGCGGTAGGGGTGTTCGCGGTCTGGATTGGACCGGTTTTGGGAGCAAAAATCATCTGATCCAATCCCTTCGGTTTGATCATGTAATCATCCATTCAGTTTGGATTTTTTTTCAAATCCGATCCAATCCAATCCAATTTTTTTCGGTTTGGATTGGATCGGTTTTCGGTATTTTGAAATTCCTGAATTTGTTTCATAATTATTGTGCAAATAACATCTTTTGTATATATTGGCTTTGTAAATTTTTTTCTTTTGAAATACAAAAGCATCAGTAAACAATAATATATATAAATTTTTTTCGGTAATGAGATATGAAGCTCTACACAGATAAAACTTTGTTGATAAGATGTGACTAGATTTTTTCTTGGATTTAGTTGATGGGTTAATGGGTCTTGAGTTTAAAAATTTGTAGGATATGATTGGGGAAAGGCCCAAGTAGGTAGAGGAGAATTAATATATTGGATCGGTTTTCATCACTCAATCCGAAAACCGATCCAATCCAATTAAAATTTGCGATTTTTGTTCGGTTTTTCGGTTATCGATTTTTCGGTTCGGTTATTGCGGTTTGAATCGGTTTGGTTCGGTTGATGAACACCCCCAACTAGCGGACTCAAACTAACTAGTTGGATTGGCTCAAATTGGGTATACACTAGACTCGTTCAACACCTTAATCCAAAGGCAAATTGAGAGATGTTAGAAACATTTGGAAGCTAACTAAAAAGATTTTAGTAATTGTAGCAAGCGTTTTTCCTACTCCACTCTGAACATTTGTCTCTTTTTGTTCATTTCATTTACCTATATACATACATTACACGCTTAAATGAAACTAGACAACAAATGAAACAAGCTTAATTGTGAAAACAAGTATATGAAACCTTTCTAAGTCACATCATGACAAACCCTTAGTTTGAATTAATATTCCAGTACACAGAAAAGAAACGACAAGATACAAGAGCACGGGTAAACTACAAGCCTGTGAGAACAATATAATGCGGTCCTCGTGATTCGAATAAGATTAGGTTGGGTTTCTGAAAAAATGAAAAAACAGAAAGAAACTCGAAGAAATTATTATTGGTATATAATACAATCAAGATACAAATAAAACAGAGAGAAACCAAGAAAACTACAGGTACATGTTTATATGTTATTCAAGGCAGAAAAAAAAGTTTGAATACCTATATATATAAAATTTTAAATTAACATGATGTGAAAACATCACTTGTAAATTTCTGCAACTGAGCCATATTTGTAGGCCGATAGGATTGCGACATGACCAAGTTCATGTTCCCCTCCCTAACATTAACATTGCTGGTTGGCAAACGATTCATAAAATGATAGACTAACGCTACTTAGAAAAACGACCGAGACGTGGGTTTGGCAGCACTTCCTAATTCCATATGGATTGTGAGTGTTAACCCTCTATAAGGAATACAAGTGTTCTTGATAATGTTTTAACAAAGCCAATAAGCATATTAGTCTTTGTCTTTGCTCCATACAGGGGACTTTTGTCCAACAGTTTCAGTCACAACTGCATTTCCATTTTCCACATTAATGAGAGAATCGGATTCGCCTTCTCTTGCCTGGAAACATTTATAGAGGAAACGGGGTCATAGAACCTTCTTATGGTAAATGATCGTGACAATGCAAAGATTCAAGGCAAGCAAAAAGGGGGGAGGGGGTTGTAAAACAAACCTGGGATGCTTGTGCTGCAGCTTCAACAGCTTTTTGCTGATTCTCATGACTACAATAGTAAGAATATAGAATCATCCCAACCATGGCTATCAAAATACCCAGTATGTTTCTCCAGCTGAATGGGTCACGCAGTAAAATATAACCAAATGCCAATACAAGGCATGTCTTCAGGTGTCCAAGAACCTGATATGTGACTGGAGATGTCTTTCCAATTACAAGAAATGTACTAAAATTGACAGAGATGGAGATAAGGCACGAAAGAACTATGAAAACCTGCAACACAGAAAGAAACAATGGAGAACACATAAAAATAAAAATAAAAGAATCAGGGTGAAAAATAAAAAATAAAAAAATAAAGAAGCTAAAGAGGACTTTTTAACTCTTACCGTCACTTGTGTTGTATACTTAAAAGCAAATACATTTAGGTTGGTCAAAAGTTTATCCAGATATGGACCAGAGATTAACAGGGTTGCTGCTTGATATGGACATGTTTGATACAGAAGCTGGGTGGAAGAAACCTTAAACTTCTTCTGGATAGTATTTGTCATCTGAAAGTGGCTAATTAAGGACAAGACACCCAAAGAAAATGAAGTTGATTTCACAGGAAAAAGAAAAACAGAAAACCGTCTTTGTAAAACTTTCAAGTGCAATAAAAAGTTATATTTCTTCTAATTATGTTCAAACGACATTAATGACAGTCTCTAGATAAGGAAAATGGACTCGTCCAAAGGCAAGCAGAGTGAAAGAAAGAGTGCTTCCAGGCTAAAATGGGAGTTCAGCATGTAAAGCCTTGCACGTTTTACATAAGATAACCAAAATAAGAAGTTGGGAATATCATTAGTTGTTCACCCAACCCATGTACCTCAAGAGCAGAAGGTTAACGTCTCAAGTGCCAAAGGCAAACACATGACATTTCTTTCCCTATGTGTTTAGCAGCATAATATCTTCAAGAACCATTTTATATGGTTAAGAAGTAGTGCATATAATATATGCTACAGTGGAACAGGTTCAAAATTTTAAGCACCCAAGATGTATCATTCATTCTGTTTAATCTTATCACAAAAGTACAGTATTGCTAAAAATTCAAGGTTCTGATACAAATAGAAATTCTTCTAAGGATACAATCTGAGCAACGCATGTTGTGATCACCGCTAGAAAAGATAAGAAAGAGCCCAGAGCATTGAGCTGCAAATCTGTGACAGTTGCAATCCCAACACCCAGGAGGAGGATACCTAGGGAAAATTGAATTCTTTTACTGCAATGACAATGAAAAGAGAATAATTAATATATGTTACAATTTATGGAAAACTACTAAAGGCAGCTATGCTCGGAATGTAAAAATTAGCACAACTATTGGATATGATGATACTTCAGATCAAAACAATGTGCCAGAGAGAGAGAGAGAGAGAGAGAGAAGAAAAATCAATTTTTTCGTTGACCATTACATAATTTACTATCAAATATTTCACATATATATTGGCAACCAGTCATAAAAATCATGGTATTGATAGAAAGCTAAATGGAACCTGAATCTCTTCCCAAGAAAAATGGTCTCCAACAGTACAGTACAAGGAATGATTGCAAGCTTAGTCATCTGAATACAAATATCATAGAGAGGTTCAGAGTCAACAATAATCAAATTAACACATGAGAAAAATAGAATCATAACAAACAACCATACTTGATAGAAGCCAACAGAATTGAACCCCAGGCTCAAATTTAAAAGACCAATTGAGATTCCATTTAAAATCCCAAATCCAATTACGGCTTTCTGGTCAAAAGGTTTGTGCTCAAAGAATCTCATTCTGAGTGCCACATGAAGGGAACAAAAAGTGACAAGCAGATGCCAGCTTGTCAAAGTTGTAGCTGCATGAGTACCAAAGGACAAGTTTCAAAATCTCGTGAGTCTCAGACAATGCACTTGAATGTAAACAGGAAAGCTCAAATTTGCATATAGCATGGAAATAACCAAAACCATCAGCATACACTGCATCTCCTAGGCGATAAATTTACCTTCTTCATGAATACAACTGAAGATTGCCAAATAAATTAGTGAATAATGTTAAGAGATGTCTAATGATTAGGCATTTTCATAAATTGAAACAATAATTAAATTCTTTGTGAGGCAACTTATATACCATTCACATTACTCAGTGGCAGTATTGATTTTGGGAAGGAAGGCGAAATCCTTAACCCGGTAAAAAGAGTCTCTTTTAGTAAAAAAAGGACACCGACAGATTGACTCCCATTCCCATGAACAGTATATAAAAAACTAAATTCCAAACATAAAAAAAAAAATGAAAAATTGTAAAATTTGACAAATCCAATCTCCAATTAATACTTCCAGTTTTACTAAGGGCGTGCTTGGTTGAGTTGGTGGAAAATGATTGTTAACCAAGAGTGAAAATGAAGTACATTTCATTTTCCACCTTCTCATGACTAAGTTGTACCAAGCAAGTATAACGCGATTTTCATTCCAAAATTTCCACCTAATTAACCGGCAAACCCTAAGTGAGTACTTTCCCTAGACCACCGATACAACATAGCAGAAGGCCAGAAGGTTGCACAGGAACAGAATGGGGTAGCAGCAATGTACAATGGAGCAACTTCCAAGTTCCAACAGAAGATGCAAGAGGGAATTAAAAGGGGAGAAGGTTCAAAACCTTCAATTCTAATAGCAAATCACAAAACAAAAGGTTTATTGAGATCAATAGGACGAATATGTCAGTAAAGGACAGGCTCATGAAGAAATGAAACAAAAATAAGTAGCAAAAGCAAATGAATTTGCAACAAGAACTCACCGAAAATGAAATGCAGTGAGCTCATCAGTGCCTTATTGCAAATTACAATTGACACAGATGACACCACTGATAGAGACAACGCGCCCACAGTCCCCAGCTGAAAACGTTCTCCCTCACCCATCTTTGTCTATGCTCCAATACCTGAAAAAAGAAGAAGAAGCAAAAAAGCAAAAAGAAGCATTCCCAATTTCAAAACTTCAGAAAGGAAATCAAACAATACAAGAATTACAAGAACAAGACATTGAACAGAAAAATTAGCCAAAACCCAGAAGACAAAATAACAACTTTACCCACAAGTAGACAGCGGAGCGGAACTAAGGGGAAAAGGGAGAAAATTGATGAGAGAAACTGCGAAGTGAGTAAAAGGGGTTTTTGATTTGGGAGAAAAGAGCAGAGATTTAGATCGGGTGGGTACAAAAGGAGAATCAATGGTTTTAGGGGTAGTAAGAGAGTGAGTGATCAGAGTGGGAAGGTAAGCATAGAAGGAAGGGGAAGGTGAGAGAGGAAATGGAAATGGAAACTGGACCTAACGATGAAGATGATTGCGTTTGGTGTTTGTCATGGTCCCAAAAATCGTGTTGGGCGTGAGGAATAGCATTGTGATACAGATACTGAATCTCAATATCAATTATTTATCAATACGCGCTTGGGAATCGACTGGTGTCTGTTAAAGCAATGGATTTAGTAATAAATAAATAAATGAAAATGGTGTTTGGTAAGTGGCATGATCAAGGGCTTCTACTCGGTCAGCATAAACGGATCAAACCCAACTTCGGTTTGATGATAATTATACTTTTTAGCAAAATTTTGTAAGACTAATTATGTGATAGTACTAACCAATCAACATTGCAATTAATTTTTATTTTTATTCTTTAAAAACATTTCATTGGTTCATCGTTTCGTCGCTACTAGTCCGATTCGGGGCGGGTTCAGAATTAAGACTTTAAAATCCTCTCATAAAAATCGTATTGAAAAAAAAAAAATCGAACACATGCCTAATTAATCTTTTTAACTACTAAATAAAATTCTTTTCATAATAGGACTATTTTAATTACTTTGAGTTGAGATTATGTTTGGGTGTCCGTTTCCACTTTGGCCATTTTCCACATAAAAATAAGTCCCTATATTGGTAATGAGAATGTCAATTGAGAAAGTCATGGACATGGTTACGTTTACGTATACAAACTTTACAGTTCAATGTCATAATAGTTTTGGGTATGGCCAATAATAGATAGAAAAATATAAAAGAAAAAGGTGAATGTGAGTAAACAAGAGAGGAGCCAGCTGTAAAGTCAAAACCAACTAAATAACACTGCTACTTCTATTAAAAAAGAATTAAATTAACAAGAGAGAGTAGCTAAAGGCACATAATTCAAATTCCATTATCTTGGCAAAAATCTTCTTTACTGTTAAAACCACAACATTTTGTCCATTAAAACAAACGAACTAGCTGGTTTTGTTCCACTTGCTTTGAAGCGTAGCATCATTCATCAGGACAAATGGATTATTTAGTTAGACTGTAAAGAGGCATTTGGCTCTCCCTTGATGGCACAATCCAATGACAGAAAACCTCTCTCATAGGTCTAAATCGAATAGATTATCCAGCAAATAATATTGCAAAACTCTTCGCACACAAGTGGATCTCTTTTGTTTCATTGTGAATTGCTCTTACTCAAACACCATTAAGAGGTGATTACTAATTAGTGGTTGTTAAGTCATTGTTAGCAGGCTTCGTACCAAATGCATATTCACTATCTTTGGAGAGACATAATGTGAATCGTAATGTAAATGAAAAACTTCTCTATGATCCATATCTTCTTGCTTAGACACTACTTTCTCTCCCCGAAACCAGGATTGTACGAGCTGGAAAATTGTTCAATGAATCATACATGAACTCATGAAGCCGAAAGGAGGTTACTCAAAACCAAGTTACCAGAGTCACGCAAATACACTATATCTTACTTGCGAAGCTTAGTGAAGAGTGGCTGCATTTTCATTCTTTATCCAACACTAGCACTTCTGATAAGTTCATGGTAATCTAACTTGACTTCACCATAACCTATCACACCCATTGCTCCATTGATTCAATCTTGATACAGTTGAGGTTCTCATTTATGGTGTGCTTGACAGATATCACACTATCTAGGAAACAACAACAACAACAACAACAACAAGAAAAAAGAGAAGAAAAGAGTGAAAGTACAATTGAAACGTTATTAGTCTTCACTTTCTGTTATTTTAATGTTCACCTAAATCAAGCAATGCCCATGTCACAGTAAGATTTTATTTTTTACTAGAAGAAAGATGATAGTTTTATGAAAATCATTACGAGGATTATGAAAACAGTGTGTTCTGGGAAATTACTGGAGTTTTCCTGTTTATTGATCTGAAGATCTCAAATCTCACTCTTGATACAGATGGCAGATTAATTATGCTTCTCTTAGCTGCTAACTCAACATTGTAGTAAAGGATGTTTCAACCCCTGGAGTCTTCAACTCTTATCTTATATGTTCTTCATATTAAATGGTGTTATGCCACACACGATAAAAAAAATGTAAAATCAACTCATTTTAAAAGAAAGAAAGAGTAAACTGAGCACATTGTACAGTTAGATGGAGTCCTAAACCATCTCAGACACTCTTAACAGTTCAAATTTGGCTCCGATTATATTATATAATGAAAACCAGGGGAATGGAAAGAAGAACCAAGGGCAAGGGAAATATTCGAGAAAGAGATCAATATAATGCGGGTCTCAAATCCTCTGTCCCCTCTTCCGATCCCCAATCCTAAACCTCATTTATATATTGACAACTAAGAGAGAAGTGCGGAACATTTTTCTTAGCTGATAGTATTTTATTCAGGGGACGTGATTGAGGACAAAGGGTATAAACCCTATAATGTGTCATCCTTCAATAATGCGCAACTCAGTTTCTAAAGAAAACTACATGAATTATAACTAAGGAAATAGGAAAAATACAATCAAGATTGTCATTAGATGTTTATAAGCTTGTTCAAGGAAGCAAAAATTGGAATATTTATATATAGAATATATGTAACATGACGTGAAAAATTTCCAGTAAGTATTAGCTAAACTCAACCATACTTGTTGGCCAAAGAACTTAGACATGACCATGTATTTTTTTCCCCCCACTAATATTGTTGGCTGGCTATCAATGCACAAAATGCTAAACTAATAATACCGACTACCAAGTGAAACAATTCACACTTGTAAGTATTTGAGACTTGAAGTTTGGAGAACTTTCTAATTAAGGGTATAATTCCTCTATAGATCCATATACTGTTCTTAGTGGTGATTTAGAAAAGCTCATCCAGCGTGCTAGTCTTTATCTTTGCCCCAGACAGGGGCCTGCCTTTTGCTCAATAGTGCAGATCCATTTTCCACATTAATGATAGGATCAGATTCACCTTCTCTTGCCTGGAAACATTATGATAAAAAGGAATTACAAATTAGGTTCTAGCAGTAAATGATCAAGACATGCAAAATGACTCATGTAAATAAAACAAACCTGTGATGCTTGTGCTGCAGCTTCGGCTGCTTTTTGCTGATTCTCAAGAATGCTATTGTAGGAATATAGAAGCATCCCAACCATGGCTATCAAAATCCCCAGTATGTTCCTCCAGCTGAAAGGGTCACGGACAATAATATAACCAAAAGCCAATACAAGGCATGTCTTCAGATGTCCAAGAACCTGATAGGTGACTGGAGATGTCTTTCCAATTACAAGAAATGTACTAAAATTTACAGAGATAGAGATAAGGCATGAAAGAACGATGACAAACTGCAATACAGAAATAACAGTTGAAAATACATTAATTAAAAAAAAAAATCGAGTTCAAAAGTAAGCACATAAGTCTTTTTAAATCTCACCGTCACTTGTGTTGTATACTTGAAAGCAAAGACATTTAGGTCGGTCAGAAGTTTATCCAAATATGGTCCGGAGATTAACAAGGTTGCTGCTTGATATGGACACGACTGATACAGAAGTTGGGTAGAAGAAACTTTAAACTTCTTCTGGATGGTATTTGTCATCTGAAAGGGACTAATTAAGATCTTGACAAGACAGATACACACAAGTGGTCTACAACCCAGAAAATAAAAAAGGGCCATCTTTCTTGAGCTTTCATGCTCAAACAGAAAGATAAATTTCTCTTAATTATGTTAAAATGAAAAAAATGACAAGGCACATGCACGCACAGACAGACTTTTGGGTAATATGGAGATAATGCATGTAAAGACTTACAGATTTATACTTACAGTAGAAAATTTATGAATGCAGGAGCTGCATTAACTCAGGGTGAAAAGCTATCTTCTTACATGCAAAAGCAAACTTAGATGACATGTTTTTTTTGTTTTTTGTTTTATGTAGTTAGTGGCATGATTATCATGAAGAACAATTTTATAGGGTTAAGAATATGCACTTACATCACATGTTTTTCCCTATGTAGTTAGCAGCATAATTGTCATGAAAAACAGTTTTATAGGGCTAACAATTAATGTATATACGCTAAAACACAACAAATTCTTTGATTTAATTTGTGATAAATATTTCATAGTTATGTTAAAAATTTGAACTGCTAACAAAAGTGGAACTTTCTTTAAGGATACAATCTGAGCAACACATGTTGTAATCACTGCTAGCAAAGATAAGAAAGAGCCCAAAGCATTGAGCTGCAAATCAGTAACTGTTGCAACCCCGACACCCAGAAGGAGGATTGAGAGGGAAAATTGTATTCTTTTACTGCAATAACAGCAATGCGAGAACAGTTAATACAGTTCAAAATTACGCAAATACTAAAAAAGGACACTTCACTATACAGACAAAAGCAACCAGAATACAAGATAATGACAATGATAGTTCAGGTCAAAAGTCAAAACAACAAGCCAGATAGATGCCTTGAAATTTGTGGAATGCTACAAAAGACATTTCTTTAATAGAACTTACATTAATTACTAAAAATTATGAGACATATATTAAGAGATCAATCATAAATGTCATATTAATGATAGGAGGCTAAATGAGACCTGAATTTCTTCCCAAGAAAAAGGATCTCCAACAGAATAGTACATGGAATGATTGCCAGCTTAGTCATCTGAATGCAAATATAATTGAGGTTGTTTAGGAAACCTAGAAAAATTGCTGAAACAACAAAAATCTAAATATCAAATGAGAAAAACATAACTGGGGTAGAGTTAAAAGCACCTGATAGAAGCCGACGGAATTGAAGCCCAGGCTCAAATTTAAAAGTCCAATTGAGATTCCATTTAGAATTCCGAATCCCATCACAGCTTTTTGCTCAAAAGGTTTGTGCTCAAAAAATCTCATTTTTAGAGCCACATGAAGAGAACAAAATGTGACAAGCAGATGCCAGCTTGTCAAAGTTGTAGCTGCATGGGAGTCCGAGGATATGCATTAAAACCTTAACTCTATGACATCACAGTTAAAACTGTAAAGGGGCAAGCAGAAAATTGCAAAAAATGAAGAAAGGAACAAAAAATGTTGCGTAGCTGTATGTTATATCGCCTCTCCACCAAAAAAAAAAACAAAAATGTGAGGCGATAAAATTTCCTTCTTCATGAATTGGACAAAATTAATGAATCAAGCTAATACTTAGAAGATGCATTTGGATCTCCTAGCATGCTTCCCCAAAATTTCACTATCTTATTAATATAAGATGATTGCACTGATTTAACATGGGTAGGATATTGACACACTGCCTCTCATGCCCATGAACAATATCTATTAAACTAAAATCCAAACACAAAGGACAAAGTAATATAAAAAACTGTCAAATTTAACAAATCCAACCTCCAATATATACTCCTAACCGTTACTAGGTTGATGGATGGTTTGCTTATTTCCAAAATTTGGCATGACAACCGACATAGTACTATACTCAAATTAGTTAGCAGCAAGCATGGAGACATTTCAAACAAAACTTCATGGAAGGCTACAGCTATAATACTTCCCACCATGAATGAAACCACAGCTCAATCTAGTCCCTTTCATCTGATCCCAAAGAATCCTAAGGCTTATAACCCATAACCCCCCCACCCCCAAATTTAATTATCGAAAGAGTCTTACACAAAAGTACATAAGAACACAGTTGTAATCGTCACCAAGAAACCCAAAAAAAAAGGAAATGCGAAAGTCAACCGCATCAATATGCAAACAGTCAAGACCTTTATGAACTTACCGAAAATGAAATGTAGGGAGCTCATCAGCGCCTTATTGCAAATCACAATCGACACTGATGACACCACGGATAGACTCAACGCGCCGACAGTTCCTAGCTGAAACTTTTCCCCCTCACCCATCTTTATCTTTGTTGTTCTGAACAAAAACCCAATAAATAAATAAATAAATAAATTCATACAAACAACAAAGGCCCAAACTTTCCCAAAAATCAAAGAACAAAACAAAGTAAAAGAAGAAGACATTGAAGCGAACAACGTTAAAGGTTGCAGGGTTAGCACAAACCCAGAAAACAAAATAACAACTTTACCCGAAAACACATTGAAGAAACTTACATAAGGGAGATATCAAGGAGTAAAACTAAATGGGTGTGGGTGTTGGTGTGTGCGTTGGCGTCGGCGTGATATCCAGCGAATTGTGAGAAAAGCACCTGGATCCAGCGATTATAGACAATCTACGATTCTGGGTCATGGAAGTTTAAGGATAGGAAGGAACTCAGTGGTTACCACAGAAGCTGAGAGAAAATGCGGTTCGGTGAAATGAAATGGGAATGGGAATGGGAATGAAAACCGAACCGAACGATTATCGGGAAACGGAAATTGTAGGAGGATAGTGGCATTGATCGCGTTCACTTAGGAAAAGGGTATTGTATTGGGTTATCGTTATTGTTCTCGTTTGTGAAGTCGAGTGAAAAAGCAGATCAATGTGAATTGGGTACGTGGTTCTTGCAGTTGCAGAGGAAAGTGAGGAGGACAAGGAGCCAATTTTTTAGTGGCAAAAAAGCTAAATAATAATGAACATTAGTTTTTGAAACTTTACTAAAATACTCTTGGTTTTGCGATTCTCACTTTTTGTGTTTTTTTTTGTTTTTTACCTGAAAAATGATCCGCGAAAAAAGTCACTTGCTGGACGGTGATGCAGATTTCTTGATACTACTTGCGTTGAGTGTTTCTTTCCAATATAAGATAATAATATTCGAGCACAACATCATCATTTAATATTGGATCCATTACAATCAAATGGTGGTAGCTCAGTTGACGTATGAGAGCTAAACAGGTGGAGATGAGAGTATGTGTTCAAATTTTTCCAGTATCACCTTTAAAAGAAATTTAAAGCTTTAATCTTGAACTTGTCCCGAATCAGATTAGTTGCGAAGCAAATGAACCGATTGAAATATTTTTAAAATATATATATATATATATATATTGGATGCGTTACAATGTCATTTATGTAACTATTTAATCAGTGCATTTTATTTTTAAGATTTATAGCCCAAAGTGTATACTCTGTTATCATTTCAATGCTAACGAGTTATCCAAATTTCTCCACTATGCTGCTGCGTGTCTATTTTTTGATCTCTCCTACACTTGCCGCTGTCTGCACACTAACATGATACATCATGATTTTGACTATTTTCACTCCCAACCAGGAAATTATTTTTCGATATTACGAATTTACCATCTACTCGGTACAATTTTTTTATTAAATGAGAAATATATTTTTCATATTACAAATAATTTTATTTTATCCAATATACAAAAAAGTGAGTAAATTTTTTTTTTCTCTTTTCAATGGATTCCATATTTTTTTTTTGTGTTTTACATAAAATAAATTATCTCATACAATAGAGAATATATTCTCCTTATTAAATATAAAAAAAATAACATATTATATTATAGGTCTAATATTTTTCTAATAATCGAAGATAAATTTATCTATAATGAACCCATAATAATAAAAAAATAAAAAATTATAATAATAAAAATAAATATAACTCTAAAATAAATTAAAATTATTAAAAAAAAATTAACCTCAAAATAATATTGTTTTTAGCTCCTTAGAAATAAGTTAGATTCATAGATACATTAAACTTTTATATTATCTCTATTTTTTATTTCCTTCTATATATTTTTTTTCCTTTTAATAAAGAAGTATCTACTTCTGTGACATCGAAAATATGCTCACCATGACACTGACACCATCCGGCCAACCCTTTCTCTCTCTTGGGATAGGCTAATAAATGGTCGAGCGCTATGAAGCACCGACACTTCAAAAATCCTGACGTGTCGTGTCCGACACTTTCTGACACTGTCGGACACTCCGACACTCCAACACGCGTTATTGAAATTCAAAAAACGATTCAAAGGTTAAATTGCGTTGAGTTTTTAGTTCCAACTGTTAGATTCGTTAGATTACGATTACCCTTTTATTGAGTTTAATATAAATATTTGGAATATCTTATCTTTCTTTGCAAAATTTATGAATATTATAAGTTTAGATACATTTTTTTGTTAAATTATTGAATATTAAAGATAATATATACTACATAAATTAAATATATTATTTAATATCAAAACGTGTCTTAACGTGTCGAAATTTAACATTTTTTAGAATTAACGTGTCGGAGTGTCGTGTCGTATCGTATCACATGTCGCGAGTCAGTGTCGGTGCTACATAGGTCGAGCGTTTACCTTGTAACAATTATTTTTTTAATCTAATTCAGATAAACACCATCCCTACAAATATTGGTGATTTAAGCATTAAAAGGCTGAGCGTTAAAAACTTAAAACGCTCCCGATTTCAATATAATTTACCGTTTTTCTCCCTGATATTTACACATTCAAATTCAAACCCCTCCACTTTCTATATGGATTCATTTGTGTACAATATTTTGATCTAAGAAAAATAAAATGATATAAAGATAAAGGGCTTTGTTCTTATCACTGGAGAATAATTCTTTTTTTGCAACTGACACCATTTTTGAATGGGTCCCACCATATATTAATTTTAAAATGAAAAATAAAAATTGCATGAAAAATAGTGTGTCATTGCATGGAAAACGGTGTGTCAGTGGCATGCAATCACAGCAGAAGCTATTCTCCCAAAGATAAAATGACAGAGTAATAATATGTTGGAGAACATAATCTTCAATTAACATCCCATGCTTTTGGCAAAAGACCAATAGATAGTGGTGCTGCCAACAACCAACTATAGGGTTATTGTAGACTTGTAGTGCTCAAAAACCCGAACCATTGGATCGACCCAGGAATCATTAAACTAATTATATAATCGATTCGGATAAAATAACAAATTGATCGAACATTAAAATTGATATCGGTGAAACCCAATCGGATTTTATAAAAATCGATAATTCGACCAGTTAATACATGCTTAATAAAAAAATCAACAAAAAACTTATAAATTTAAGAAGACCATTTCAAGCATTTTAAAAAAAATTAAAAACCTTATAAAATAAGATAAAATTATAATAGATCAAGTATTGTGTATTTCTTAGTTTATGGAATAATATTGTGTGATTTATTATTTTTCATATTAGAATATTTGAAACTGATAACATTTTTTTACAGATATTTAAGTATGTTTGTAGTTTTTTAATATAAATTATAAATTTACACATATTTACTAAATCATGTTATTCAACCAGTGACCTAATACCTTCACTGAATCAATAATCGGCCGACTTTAATAACATTGATTTATTGTGTTAAAACTGATTTGTTATTATCATACTTTATTTATAAATCATAAATAAAAAAACTGATTTGTTATTAGCATACTTTATTTATAAACCATAAATAAAAAAACAATAACAAACAAATATGTCAAACACTCGTAGAAAATAAGTCAGCCGCCCATTCACCATCACCATTGCATATTATAGTTCTCTATTTTTTATTTTTTATTTTATTTTAAGAAAAACCAAGTCAAATTCTTCTCCTACCCGCATCGAATAGACCATATTAAGCCAAATCAGCTTCATGAAAAACTAAATTTATTCATATTCAAAAAATCTCATGATTTTATAAATTATGCACCATTGCTCGAATACGTAGTCTAGTCAATGCAAGGAGGACAATCCCACACACTCATACATATAGCATAAAATAGCAATCGGCATCACTCTACATTCTCCAAGGAATAAGCTTCTATCTTTCTCTAAGGTAGAACATTTGAAATCTGGTACTGCATTGTTGCAAAACTCTAGATAATTCTCATACTCACATTTATTGGATTGATAGCTGATGGAGCACAACACCAATCTTTCAGCAATTCATTTGCCTTATTTAACCAAACTTCATAAATATCACGCAAGAACAGAACAAAGTGGACCAGAAATAAATATTGAACTGTAAATAGAGATTCTACAAACATCGATCATAAAAGGATATGCAAATCTTAATCAATAAAACTCCTTTCTTTCAGACTAAGCAACATATAGCCTCACATCATACCTTATAGCGAAATGCTTGTTGCACAGAATTTCCCTCTCAGAAAAAAAAAAAAAAGGTGGGCTGTGGATGGTGGGAAGAAAAAGGGAAAAGGAGGAGGAAAAAGAAAATAAGATGGCGAAGATTAGTTTTGTGAGTGTTGAGAGAGGAAATGTCGGTGAGAGTAACAGACCTCAGTTCTATATGGTTCAAAGGGCCGGTGTCAATTTTTAATGGCAAAGGTTAACAAGTCTGACAAAATTCTATGTAAAGTGAAGCCCAAAGTCCAAACTGCGATCATGTCTAATAATTGGAAATGTGAAATTCTATTGAAATACAAATCCAAATGTATACTTATTAGTATCATGCCTCAGGCTCTGACCCCAATAAAGAAAATGGAACAAATGGAATGTAATACCTCTTTAAATTCATTTTGAAACTCCTTGAAGTTAAAAATTGCAACTGTAGCAGCCTCGTGTTAAGGATATCTGAAGCAATGCAGCATTATAGAATAGTGATGAACTTGATAAATAACTTCACTCACCAAAAAAAAAAAAGACAGAAATTAAGGACTTTAAAATAAATCAAATCCTGATGCTGCAGTAACCAATATCCCAATTAAAGAATATAACCATATTTATTTGGAATTAGAACATCTGTCTCGTAAAAGTATAGTTGATGCATTTCAACAAGGCTTAGGATCTTACTGAAAAGCAAAGAAAGGATAAGATTTGAGAACCAGGACATTGAATTTACTAGGTTCAGTGGGAATTTTGTCATTGAAATATATATTATAGCTATGGTATTAACTATTGAATAATTGGCTTGGCTACTGTGTTATATTTTTTAGTACAAGTTTTTCCAATGACTGAACTTTTGAACTGAATAAGCACAATGGTCTTTGGGAGATCCTAAACAAAAATTTTCCTAAAAGCAGATGAGAAGTCCATCGATATCACCTACACCCAGAAAAAGGAATCTACCATGAGAGGACAATAAGATTTCATCCCAAACCATTGCAATCAACATGAACATTCCCGCCAGACTTGCTGTGCAATCATTATCAATAATCAACATATGGAGGTTGAACACATCCTAACGGCAAGGAGATTTTTTAAGTGAACTTACCCAACACACCACATGATACGACAGGGAAAGCTACATACTGAATGTTTTTCTCTTTTGCGACACTCAAACTATTCCTGCAAATCAATTGTAAAAAATAAACATCTCATTCAAGAGTAATGAACTAATACACCAAACTGAATAAACTTGTTATTATTCAAAGAAGAAGAAGAAGAACAACAACAACAACAACAATAGCTGCAAAAACACAGTGTAGAACTAACTGTAAGCACTTTCCAGAGAGGCAGCAAGGTTACTACAAAAATCGTAGATTGGTTGAGAAGCAGGCAATCTAAAATCCTTGTATAACAACATGTACGAGACAAACATGAACAAGTTGGATTATTTCCATCTATAATCATCACACTAAGAGTAACTGAAAAACTAGTAAAAA